CCCCCCCCTCTCTCTCTCTCTCTCCCTGCCAGTCCTGAGGCTTGAACTCTGGAGCTAGACAGTGTCCCTGAGCTCTTTTTGCTCAAGGCCAGCACACTCTCTCTTGAGCCACACACCCCACTTCCAACTTTTTTCTGTGATTAATTGGGGATAAGGGACTCAAGGCCTTTCCTGTCCCAGTCAGCTTCTGAGATCCATGGATCTCAGCCTACAGAGTAGGTTGGATTACAGGTGTGAGCCAAGGGCCCGTGGCTTGAATGTACTTTAAGTAGCTTTAATGGCTTTAAGTGTGGGCTATTGTTAGTAAGGCAGCTATGAGCCAGTTGAACTAGATCCTTTTGAATACAGTGCATTTATTTCTCTTGTGCATTCAGTTCCCCCGAGTGGAAATGCTGGATCCTAAGATGTGTCTGTTTGCCATTCTGCGTGACAATTCTTACACACGTGCTTTGAGATTTATTTCTCTCTTCCCATCTTTCTCCTTGCCCCTCCCCTAAACACCCCTCGCCCCTCCCCTAAACACTCTGCCCAGTTCCCAGGCCTGTTTAATGACTTGCCTTTCCCCACAGGAAGGAACCCAGTCACCCCTGCTAGAGGCTCAGGAAACAACGCAAATCCTACAGACTGCCAGATCTTCACGCTCACCCCTCCGCCTACCACAAGGAGGCCTGTGACCAGGGTCCAGGCCGCCACCACCCAAAATACCGTGCAGCGAGTTCCACAGGGAAGACCCAGAGTCCCCCCTCGCTTTCCAGGGGGACCGTTCTTCCCACCGACCTGCAACCACCGTTTCCATTTCCAGCCTTTTTACTGGCCCTTAGGGAGACTTTTCCCAAATAGGTATTTCCTTGGAAGACAACTCCAGAGTGGAAGCTCATCGGAGGAAAGCAGAGATTGAAGACAACGCAGCCTGCTCTCTGAAAGACACTGCTGTCTCATGACTGTTAGACCAGCTGCTCAGGAGACTGAAATTTGGGGGTCTTGGTTCAAACCCAGCCCAGGCAAGAAAGTCTGTGAGACTCTTTTCTCCAATTACTGTTGAAAAGCTGCAAACGAAGCTGTGGATCAAAATGGTAGAGCACTAACTTTGAGAAGAAAAGCTCAGGGAAAGCGTCCAGGCCCTGAGTTCAAGCTCCAGGACTGGCAAAAACAAAAACAACGATTTATGTTTTATCTTTCTGAACTAAAGTTATTGGACTAGAAGATGAAGAACCCAAAATTACATTGACTAAGAACGGTTTGTTCTCCTTGTTAACAGTGACAATATTGGATTACAGGTTATTTTTGTCTATAAAAATAGGGCAGCAAAAAAAAAAAAATAGGGCAGTCACCAAATTATTCTTATCTCACAAAAGATTAATGCAAATAAAAATCTTAAAATGGGTTATTTCAATAATTCCTATCCATACTGAAAAGCCAGAAGAATTAATGCCTTCTTAGTGAGGAGAGTTTTCAAAGAGATTAGGAAATGAATGAAAACATTAATGATCTTTTTTTTATTCATTGGGAAACTTACAGAACAAGATGCATTTTAAATTTCACCAATGAACTTTAAAAAGGAATTGTAAACATAAAAGAAAAAAAATGAAACCAGGCACTAGTAACTCACACCTGTAATCCTAGCTACTTTAGAGGCTGAGAGATCTGAGGATCATGGTTCAAAGCCAGCCCGGGGAAGAAAAACTGTGAGACTCTTATCTCCAATAAACCACTCTGAAAACCAGAAGTGGCACTGTGGCTCAAGTGGTAGAGCGCTAGCCTTGAGCTGAAGAGCTGAAGGACAGCGTCCAGGCCCAGAGTTCAGGCCCCATGACCAGCAAAAAAAAAAATATATAGGGTAATTATACACCACTCACTATAGTTATAAACTGGACTATCTGGCTAACTATAGTATCCAATTTTTTTATATAGATGGAACTAGGAAATACATATATATATGTATAAATATATCTATATTTATATATATAAATGAAACTAGGATATATATATATATAAGTGGAACCATGAAAATATGTATATGTAGACATTGAATATTATGACTATATCCTCCCACCCTTCCCCTCCAAATTTATTTTAATACGCACTTTTTAAGTGATTGAAGCAATTAGTTTGATAAGTATCTCATTGTTTTTCCTGTAATTACCATAAATCCTAGATCTATGGATCTAGGATCCTAGCTAAAATAGATCCTAGCTAAAATGAAATATTCCCCCTAATTTTTCAACAGAGGTCCATGTTGAAATGCATGATTAAAGTTAGCTAGATAAATCAGGTGCCTGTCCCAGCTACTTAAGAGGCTGAAATCTGGAGGATCACAATTCAAAGCTAGCTTGGGCAAAAAAAAGCCAAGGTGGAGGCTAGAGTACAGCTCTAAGTGGTAGAACGCCATCTAAAGAAGCAGCAAGCCAACTGAGAATAAGACCCTGAGCTCAAGCACTAGTACCAGCACACACACACACACACACACACACACACAGAGTTACCTGAATTGGTGCGTTAACTCTAGAAGTCTGTAAAGTTCATTCACCCAATCATGAGAACCTTGTATTCTCAGGGTACAATTGGAGAAATGGACCCTTATTCCTGTCTCTATAAAATATTTCATGCTCTTTGTGCCATTCATCTTGCCTATAATATAGGAACTTGGGTTTTTCATGTGTGGCCAATGGCTAACACTTGTTTCTCTCAAGAGCTATGTGCAAAAGATGCTGTTGCTGCTGTTACAAAGAGAAAACAAAAAAGGTGAAGCCCTGAAAATGGATACCTGGGAACAGGAGAGAGATAAATCATTGTGATGTGCTTCCTTGCTACATTAAAAGATAAAAAGAAAAGCCATCTCCTTTCACTTAATTTATAACAAATCTTCATTATAACAACAAATATACAGATTTAAACAAAAACCTGTTTGAAATCCTGATCAAGAAACTATCTTTTAGCTGGGTACCAATGGCTCGCACTTATAATCCTAGCTACTCAGGAGGCTGAGATCTGTGGATCTTGGTTCAAAGCCAGCCCAGGCAGGAAAGTCTGCAAGACTCCAATTACCACCAGAAAACCAGAAGTGGCGCTGTGGCTCAAGTGGTAGAGCACTTGGCTTGAGCTGAAGAGCTGAGGGACAGAGTTCAGGCCCCACAACCGACAAAAAATAAAATTTCCATTTGAGAGTTGACTAACATTTCACCAGCAATTTAGACATCATACTGGAAAGCCATGTTTCCAGTTCATTCCAAAGATCCTCTGGCCCACTCACAGTGTTCTGACTGGCCATCCTGTCACTCTGCCATTATTCATGGGCCAAATTTCATTTCATGAGGCAAATTTATTTGTATAATTCACCAAACTCTTTCTCTTTGATGCAAGAGTCTCAGTGTAGGTGCCAGCTCTTTCCCAGCACCACCCCCTCCTTCACCCCCATGCTCCCAACCAGCCACTGGCTCTGTTATGCTGACCTCTGAGCCCCAGCTACCCACCAGCTTCAGGAGAGTCCTGACATACTCGCAGAGACTGAAGGGACCTTACAATATATTCCACGAACCCCTTGAAGCCTGGGCTGATGGAGTGCTTCACGATGTCCACTAGGGGGCACCACGCCACGGGCGGGACCTTTTATTACCTATTTACAATTCTTTTTTAAATTATTATAAAGGCGATGTATAGAGAGAGTACAGTTTATTTGCTATGCTTGTTGCCCACTCTTGGTGCCCAAATAGATTAAGCATGCCTTAATGACAACTGTGCCTATGAAAAGGGAAAAAGGAAGCCGGGTGCCGGTGGTTCACGCCTGTAATCCTAACTTCTCAGGAGGCTGAGATCTGAGGATCGCGGTTCCAAGCCAGCCTGGGTAGGAAAAACCATGAGACTCTTATCTCCAATAAACCACCAGAAAACTAGAAGTGCTATAGCTCAAGTTGTAGAGTGCTTGCCTTGAGCTGAAGAGTTGAGGGACAGTGCTCAGGCCCAGAGTTCAAGCCCCATGACCAACAACAACAACAACAAAAGACTGAGAAATTCAAAATATGCAAATATGCAAGTGTCATGATGAAACCAAAAATTAATCATTAATAATTTAATATTAATAATTTTTAAAGAACAATACATTCTTCTAGCTGGGCAACATTTCCCACTTTTTTGGGGGGGGGACATTCTTGGGCCCTGCTCAGCTACTGTCCTTGAGTTTTTGTGCTCAAGACAGTGCTCTACTATTTGAGCCACAGCTCCACCTCCAGTTTTTTTTGTTTTGTTTTGTTTTGTTTGCCAGTCCTGGGGCTTGAACTCAAGGCCTGGGCACTGTCCCTGAGCTTCTTTTGCTCAAGGCCACAAAACTATTTCCAAGGGGGCGGGGGAAACAAAGGAGGAGGCTACAATGCTTGATAAGAAATGTACTCATTATCTTGCCCATGTAATTGCAATCCCTCTGTACAGTATTTTCACAATTAAAAAAAAAAAACAAAACATTTCCAGCTTTTTCTGTGTATGTAGTACTGAGGAATCGAACTCAGGCTTCATACATGCTAGGTAAGCACTATACCACTAAACCACCTTCCCAGCCCCCCACTTTTTTCTTTCAGCTTTTTTATGGTTAATTGAAGAGTCTCACGGACTTATTGCCTAGGCTGGCTTCAAACTGCGATCCTCAGATCTCAGCCTCCTGAGTAGTTAAGATTACAGGCTTGTCCCACCAGCACCCGTCCCCAATTTAAAAAAAAAATTGATCCACAATATATGTTGAATAGATATTATATGTGAGTACATACTTTGGCATATTTGCTTTATCCGAAATGGTGTTTGCCTTTGTTTTCAAGGATAGGAAAAAAATCTACAAAGGAAAATCTCCAGTACTTAAGTTAAAGTCTGGTTTACCTTTGTCTTTCTAAAGATCTTTAATATGAAAGTATATACAACCTCAGCAAGAGGCAAAAAACTGTAAATCAAAGCAAGATCATGTTCACCAATCAGACTGTTCAAATGAAAATTGTTGGTAACATCTAAGAAAATCGATTTCCTCCTACACCATGGGTGAGAATTGGAAGACCATTTGGCAGAATTAATCAAAACCCAAAATGGACCATACCTTTCTCCTGCTTCATCAAGTCCACCTTTGTCCAGGGTTGTAACTGTTTCTCCAGCATCCATCCTCAGCTTCCACTGTGTTGTGGAAGCCATGTCTCCATGGAAATATCAACCTCAACCAATCTGCACAATCCCATTTCCTTCCCCTCCCATTAATTCAGACAAAATGTCCAGAGCCCCAAGCCAGCCATCCATCCATCAAGCCAGGCAGTTTTGCCCACAATGACAGCTTCATAGCAATGAGCAGTAGCCAAAGTAGGAGCAATGAGAGAGCAATTTTCAAACTTGGGGAAACACCTAACCCCCTCCCTTTGGAAGCAAATAAGGAAGCATGGAGCTACAAAAACCTAAGCTCCTGATGTTTTATATTATCTAAACAAAGGTTTTCTTTTTAAAGTCAAACTCAGCTCTAAGTAAGCATGACCATATTTACATAAACACTCACGGTTTTTTTTTTCATTTATTGAATGATATTAAACTCTAAATCCTCAAAGCCTATTGCCTGATACATAAAATATGAACAATCTTCCTGCCTTCAGAGTTATTATTTCTATGGTCATATATAAATCAGGGTACTAGACTATAATGTGTAGCAAAAGCAGATTGGGTGTGGCTCCTAATCTTTAGGGAGTGACCTTTCAATAAGGTTGGTGAACATTGGTTATTGTTCTTGCCTATTCTTTGGACAGGATATCACACCTTACTCCAAGGACAAGAAAGTGAACTATTTTGAGATGTGTTATCTGCATTTCCCTTATTCCCTCTGGGCTTGGGTACTGTCCCTGTGCTCTTCAGCAACACACTTCCCAAGGGCGCAGCCAAGGAAAGAGAGTAACTGAGTGAGAGGGGTTTGGGGAGACTGCACCATGGTATATACCACAAAATTAAGAAAAGCATGGGAAGCAGCAGTTGAAGGGGGGTGAGAACTTTGGAATTGGGTGACACTGATCAAGAAGCACTGTACTGACAAACTGCCTTGTTAAATGGCACCTCCTTTGTACAAGTACTTAAAGATAATAAAAAATTAAAAACACTTGCAACCATTTTACAATATATAAAGCAAAGAATAAAAAGAATTTAAACAAGGCTATCCAATGGAGAAAGTTTTCACCAAAAAAAATGAAAACAAAGAAAAGTGATGTTTTACCATTTTCTCCATGTATAACATAGTCAACATGAGACACCCACAAATACTTCTAAACACAAAGCTCTAAATTATGAGTTACTACAAACGATGACATCAAGATTTGTGGTGAGTTGTTTCTCAGAAGGGCACATTAAGAAACAGGCTGTGGGTTAATTACGTTTTCAAGTTATTTCATGTTTGAAACTATCAAGAGAAAAATAAGATTCTTTAGAAAGCAAAATATAAGAGCATGACTTTATACAAATAGAAGAGTGTTAAGGAATCCTTTCTAATGCAGACATGCTTAACACTAATAATTTAAAAGAAAAAACAGGGCTGGGATGGAGCTCAGTGGCAAAGTACTTGCCTAGCAAGTGCAACATCCTAGGTTTGATCCCCAGTACCAAAAAAGAAAAGACAAAAATACAGTTTTTTAAAAAACCTAAACAAACAAGAAAAAAGAATAATCCATTCAGTCTAATTCACTAAGATTAGCTAAAACCTGTTCTATGTTCTCTAGCTCCTTGTTAGTGATTATATACCAAAAGACTTGAAAAACAAGCTACCCACCTTTGTCATTCTAGTCTATTTAGCACAGGTCAGCCTTACATTGTAGCTCAATTAAGATAAAATGACCAAACTGAGTCATGTAAGAAAATACATCTCCTATATTCCCATTTCAGTGGGAAGCCAGACAATCCAGGAGAATTCAGTCCTAAGCCTGGGGCTGATCCAGCTTTGCCAAATCGTCTTCCCAAGACATGTTATTTTTTTTATTGTTGGTCGCTTGAACTCTGGGCTTGGGTACTGTCCCTGTGCTCTTCAGCTCAAGGCAAGCACTCTACCACTTGAGCCATAGCACCACTTCAGGTTTTCAAGTGATTTATTGGAGATAAGAGTCTCACGAATTTTCCTGCCCAGGCTGGCTTTGAACAGTGATCTTCAGATCTCAGCCTCCTGAGTAGCTAGGATTACAGGCATGAGCCACCAGCACCTGGCTAAGACAAGTTATTTTATTGCATGCTGCTTAGATGATCAGTTGTACAAGAAAATTAACTTGTCACCTGTATCAGTTACTTTTTCTAGTTGCTGTGACAGCAACAGGCTAATAGAAGAAGGGTTTTCTTTGTCTCTGGTTTAAATTTTCAACCCATAGTCTTTGATTCTGGGTCCATGGTGAGATTGAACTTACACTGGGAGGAAGATGTAGAGGAAGAGGAGGCTGCTCACCTCATGGATGCAGAGAGCAAGGAAGGGACTGTGGATCAGGTATGATGTAACCTCTAAGGCTCATCCCTGGAGCCTCCCAAAAGTAGCGCCACCAGCTGGTGACCCGAGATACTACATACATAAGCAATTTTCCATCTTTTTCTTTCTGGTTTGTTTTGATTGCTGTGCTACTAGAGATTGAATCCGTGGCTTCACACATGCTCAGCAAGTGTTCAGCCCTGCTATTTCATACTCCAACCAAAACACCTCACAAAGTTTCAAAAAAGAGAGTAAACACATTAGTTCAAATTTATTTATTAAATGCCATACAGTGCTGTATATTTTATTTGCACTCTTAATAAATCTAAATTAAATCGATCTATGGAGTTTAGTAAGATAATATTAATTTTAAAACATACACACAGCAAGTCCACTGTCCCTCACTGGTACATGTATATATATATATATACATATATATATATATGTATATATATACCATATATATTTCATATTAGTATGTGACTAAATCATATCCTTGTAAAGAGATATTAAATATATCATAAAATTTTTAAAGAGATTACAATCCCAATTTTCAAAATCTTTTTTTTTTTTTGGTCGGTTGTGGGGTCTGCACTCTGGGCCTGGTCACCATCCCTCAGCATTTCAGCTCAAGGCTAACGCTCTACCATTTGAGCCACAGCGCCACTTCCGGCTTTTTCTGCTTATATGGTGCTGAGGAATCGAACCCAGGGCTTCATGCATGCAAGGCAAGCACTCTACCGCTGAGCCACCTTCCCAGCCTTTCAAAATCATTTTTAGTAGTTCTCCCAAGATTCTAACCAGATATGATCCTCAAGTCTCAATATGGACATAAGTGATTTTTAGTTCCTTAATTCTGAGGTTCACAAGGACTCTTAATAGATAAAAGACACCATATGCAAATATATAAACTCTAAGGGTACTAGAACCTCAGTTAAGCAAATATTTTCACATTGACTTTCATGTAAAAGATTTAAAGATGTTGGCTTCAAGTATGTCTGATCCTCCTACCTAAAAAGATCTGGATCTGTGCACTAGAAAGCACCTGTGGGCTATGCATAAATGATTTTGCACCTTGGTGAATAGCTTTGAGGAGGACCTAAGTGTCTGAGGTAACAAGGAAATAGCAAACATCTCTGGCTTCTGTCCATTCTCATCCTCAAACTCCCAGTGGCCAAGAGTGGAGTCTACAACAGAGCCCTTCCCAACCAAAGCCTCTTCAGCCAGTTGAATCAATAGCACTGGGCCCAGAGAAGAGTAACCACCCTGATTATTAGTGACCCTGCTTCCCTATCTTGAATGCATACCTGTTTTTTCAATGAAAAGCACCTGTGCTTCTCCATCTGAAGGTATACCTTTAAATTTCTCCTACTCCACTCATTCCAATTTTGTTCCTCTACATAGGAACTTTAGCACCAGAATCTTACAAGCTTACAATGACTTATAAATCATTAGACATACAAGCTTTCTCTACCAGATTTGCCTTACTGTGGTTCTTAGAAGATTAGCAGAGAGATCAGATTCCTATAACAAATATACTGAGTATCAACAATCATGACAGAAACCAAACATATATGTCTATGCATGGACAGTAGTTGTGTATATAGCTTTTATAGTTAATGTAAAAGAAAATTTTTCTTCTATGGATCCTAGGGTTTTTTTCTTTTTATTTTTATTCATTCTCTTCAACCATAAACATTTATACAGATCACACAAAATTCAATGCATAAATAACATGACCTTTTATAATGTTTTTCTCCCCTTCTTTTACTCACTTTTTTATCTTGGGTAACTTTAAAGATACAATCTACTAACCGCAAATACACCTTCGTGTACAAGAAGCATGCCACTATTCTCTCATTGGCTATATCTTGAAATAGCACTGGTACATTAGAAACGCGATGGGGTCACAGATGGGGATGGAGCAGGAGGGACTTGTTCAATCCCCCTTGGATACATTCAGAAGTTTCTGTCTTCTTCTTATACTAAGCCTTTCATAGAAAAACAAGCAGTTCAGAAGGAAATTATCAAAACACGGGCGCTTCTCCCAGGACATCAGCACTCCTGTTGCAAGAGGACCTCATTTCCAGTGCAAGAGCAGCATCTAGAAGCATGGGAAAGTGTTTTCAAACATTTATATGCACTCTGTATATACATTCTGTAAAATCTGATCTCTATTCATTTCCTTTCTCACCTTGTACACACTGATAACATTGGTGGGTGCTAGGCACTGTAAGAAAACCTCACATTATATATATTAAAAGGAAAAAAAAGATTTTAGGCTAGTTGTGGTGGTACACACCTCTAACCTCAGCTATTCAGAAGGTGAAGATTAGGATGGTGGTTTGAGGCCAGACAAAAAGCAAGACGCTGAGGACTCAATGGGAGAGCGTCTATCTGTCTTGCAAGCATGAGGCTCTGAGTTCAAACTCCAACAGCACCAAAATGACAATCTTTAAGAAAATTATCAGCCCAAATTATCTTGTGCAGCACACTGTATCTTTTTATGCAGATAATGATTTTTAAAAAACAGATTAGGGCTGGAATGTGGGTTAGTGGTAGAGTGCTTGCCTCATATGCATGAAGCCTTGGGTTCGATTCCTCAGTACCACATACACAGAAAAGCCAGAAGTGGCACTGTGGCTCCAGTGGTAAATCGCTAGCCTTGAGCAAAAAAAAAAAAAAAAAATTGAAGTTGTAGACAGCCTTCAGTTTGTGGGTTTCTGTGAATTAGCTATTCACAGTTCACGTGAGCTAAATGAAATGAATGCATGCAAAGACCTCACCCAAGGTCTGGGAAGAGCCTGCACAATGAGGAATTCAAATCAAATCTTGTTCACTTGACAGTAAATCTGCCTTTAATGTTACAGATATTGAAAATGCTTTGTGGAGATCAACAGATTAATATCAGCCAGGTGCCAGAGATTCACACTGTAATCCTAGCTACGCAAGAGGCTGAGATTTGAGGATCACAGTTTAAAGCCAGCCTAGGTAGGAAGTCTGTGAGATTCTTATCTCCAATAAAATACACTTGAGCTATGTCAAGTGATAGAGTACTAGCTCTGAGCAATAAAAGGCTCAAGGACAGTGCCCAGGTCCTGACTTCAAGCCCCAGGACTGGCACTTAAGAAAAAAAAAAAGGGCTGGGAAGATGGCTCAGTGGTAGAGCGCTTGCCTTGCATGCCTGAGGCCCTGGGTTCGATTCCTCAGCACCACATAAGCAAAAAGAAAAAAGCCGGAAGTGGCGCTGTGGCTCAAATGGTAGAGCACTAGCCTTGAGCTGAAGAGCTGAGGGACAGCGCCCACGCCCAGAGTTCAGGCCCCATGACCGGACCCAAAAAAAAAAAAAAAAAGCAATTATTTGTTATCTTGGGAAATTACCAAATAATCATTGAATCTATCTTGCTTTACAAACCCACAGGTCAAATGACTGGAAAGCAAGATGAATATTCATCCTTCTTGAGCAATTGCCACCCTAAATTCATATTACAATATACAATAAAATGCAGATTCCTTAAAGAACAAGACATAACCACAAGACTCATCACAGACAAATGTTACTTCGGCTTTCTAAGTGGCATAACTTCTCTGTCAGGAGTTCTCTGGCAATCACCAGAGTATTTCAACTGAAAACTTTCTCCAGTAAGCCACAAAACATTTCTTTTTTTGGGGGGGGGGGGAGGGTCGGTCGTGGGGCTTGAACTCTGGGCCTGAGCACTGTTCCGGCACTCTTCAGCTCAAGGCAAGTGCTCTACCACTTGAGCCACAGTACCTTCGGGTTTTCTGAGTGGTTTATTGGAGATAAGAGTCTCACAGACTTTCCTGTCCGGGCTGGCTTTGAATCGTGATCCTCAGATCTCAGCCTCCGGAGTAGCTAGGATTACAGGCGTGAGCCACCAGCGCCCAGCTCCACAAAATATTTCTTATGGATGATTACACAGCTTTAAGGGGAGAATTCAGACCTACCCTGATTAGAATTAAAATGATTGTCAGTGCTGGTGTTCCATCCGAGGCAAATCGGCCTCTGAATCATCTGATGAGAAAGATCCTGATGCCTATAAATCAATAATTAAGCATTACAGATTCAGTAACTGCAAAACAGCCGTTCTCCCAAAATTCTGATGCTGATTGTTCAGATACAAGATGCTTTATTAAATTAACTAGTCATAAACCAAGTTGGTTTCATGGAAAAAGATAAGAGGATATTTTTCTTTGGCCTCTTTACTTACTTACTTATTTATTTATTTATTTTGTCGGTTGTAGGGCTTGAACTCTGGGCTTGGGCACTGTCCCTGAGCTCTTCAGCTCAAGGAAAGCACTCTACTGCTTGACATATAGCACCACTTCTGGTTTTCTAGCAGTTTATTGGAGATAAGAGTCTCACAGCCTTTCCTGCTGGGGCTGGCTTTGAACCGTGATCCTCAGATCTCAGCCTCCTGAGTAGCTAGGATTATGAGCATGAGCCACCGGTGCCCAGCTTGCCTCTTTATTACATACATGTTAAAAGATACTTGTAAGCCACATGTTAAATGTGGAGCTATGGCTCCAGTGAAGAGCACTACTCTTGAGAAAAAAAAAAAAAGCCCAAGAATAGCACCCAGGCTCTGAGTTCAAGATCTAAGTCCATCACACAACAACAAACAAACAAAATTCCAAGACAAGCATGGTAGCTCATGTTATAACCAATCACCCAGGAGACTGAGAAAGGACAATCTGAATTCAAAGACAGCCTTGCAACATACCAAGACTCTGTTTCAAAAAATATAAACAAAAAGTGGAGGTATGACTCAAGTGGTAGAGTGCCAGTCTTGAGCAAAAAAAAAAAAAAAGCCAAGCAGAAGCTCAAGGCCCAGAGTTCAAGCCCCAGTACCAGCAAAATTAATTAATTAATTAATAAGTAAAAATAAAAACAGGACCAAAATATATATCTGGTCTTCTATGCCCCAGTACAACCCATCTGTCCTCTCACTACAAAACAAAAACCTGTTGGAACCATCATGTTAAGATTTCAAAGCAGACGTTATCACACTATGCTACATAAAGTAAAGAAATACATGGACAGGAATTCTTAGCCTAGAAGAAGCAGCTATAGAAGAACGAAATGAATACTTCAGGACTAAAAAAATGTGAAACTTGAAGTTTAAAAAATAAATTAGCAATGCTTGGTAAGAAATGTACGCATTATCCTGCCCATGTAATTGTAACCCCTCTGTACAGTATGTTCACAAATAAAAAATAAATAAATAAATTAAAAAAAAAATAAATTAGAACGGATAAAGTAGGTGATAAAATGTCAGAGAACAAGAAGATAGATCAAAAGAACTTGTATAACCTGTCACAGTGAACCCTGCTTATACGGCTACTATATGTTAACAGAAAATGTTAAGAAATAAAAGAGGGTTGGAAAGGTGGCTCAGTGGTAGAGTGCTTACCTTGCATGCATGAGGTCCTGGGTTCAATTCCTCAGCATCACATAAGCAGAAAAAGCCAGAAGTGGTGCTGTGGCTCAAGTAATAGAGTGCTAGCCTTGAGCTGAAGAGCTGAGGGACAGCACCCAGACCAAATTCAGGCCCCACAACTGATAGAGAGAGAGAGAGGGACAGAGAGAGACAGAGAGAGAGAGACAACGAGAGAGAGAGAGAGACAGTGAGAGAGAGAGAGAGAGAGAGAGGAAGGGAGAGAGGGAGGGAGTGAGGGAGGGAAGGCAAGCAGGAAAGAAGGAAGGAGTCTTACAATTTGAAGAATACATGGAAAAAGAGAGTAGAGGGCTGGGAATATGGCTTAGTGGTAGAGTGCTTGCCTAGCATGCATAAAGACCTGGGTTCAGTTCCTCAGTATCACATACACAGAAAAAGCCTGAAGTGGTATTGTGGTTCAAGTGGTAGAATACTAGTCCTAAGCAAAAGAAGCTCAGGGACAGTGCCCAGGCCCTGAGTTCAAGCTCCAAGACTGGCCAAATTTAAAAAAAAAAAGAGAGAGAGTAGAAAAGAGCAAACAGTCACATGAATTTAGGAGAAAATATCAAAATGTCTAATATACATATATATGTTCAGATGGAGGGCCTAGAATCCCCACAACCCTGCTTTCGATTCCCAATACCATGTAGAAAAAAAAATCTCAAAAAGGAAAAAGATTATGCATTTAAGATTCCTTTCCCTCCAGGTGCCGGAGGCTCACACCTGAAATCCTAGCTACTCAGGAGGCTGAGGTCTGAGGATCACCATTCAAAGCCAGCCCAAGCAAGAAAATCCCTGAGACTCTTATCTCCAATTAACCACTAGAAAACTGGAAGTGGCGCTATGACTCAAGTGGTAGAGCGCTAGCCTTGAGCTGAAGAGCTGAGGGACAGCATCCAGGCCCAGAGTTCAAGCCCCATGACTGACCAAAAAAAAAGGACTCCTGTCCCCTGGTTAATCATCCTACTGCCAAGAAGGGACTTCCCATGTGGAATTGATATAATCAATCAACTGACCTTAAGGTATACTGATTATCTTCTTGGTAGGCTTACGTGTAACCATGTAAGCTCCAAATAGAAACCTAATGAGTCAGAGAGATGAGGCAGAAAGGACAGAAATCCACAATGTAAACAGGATTTGCCTGCTGTAGTTGGATTTGAAGAGGGAGAAAGTAAGCCATCAGTCAAGGAATGTGGGTAGACTTCATCTGTCAGCAGCAAGCCTTCAGCCAGGAAGGAAACAGGATCTCAGACATACAACCATATGGAACTCAATTCTGTCAACAAGGTGAATGAGCTTGGAAACACTCTCCCTGAAACCTCCCAGAAAGAAATGCAGCCTTCAGAGCACTTGATTTTGATCTATTCAACTTAGGAAGAGAAGCTACTGCACCTAGCTTTCTGACCCAAAAACAGTCAAATACTAAATGTCAGTTTAAATATGGAGTGACGGCCAGGCACTGGTGACGCACAACTCTAATCCTAACCATAGGAGGCTGAGAACTGAGGGTGGCAGTTCAAAGCCAGCCCAGGCAGAAAAGTCCCTCATGAGACCAGCCACTCAAAAAACCAGAAGTGGAGCTGTGGCTCAAAGTGGTGAAGCACTAGCCTTGAGCAAAAAGAGCTCAAGAACAGCACCCAGGCCCTGAGTTCAAGCCTCACAACTGACCAAAAAGTAAAAAACGAATATATACACATACATATATATATATATGTATATATATGAAGTGATGTGTTAGAAGTGATAGACAATATATATATTGTAGTTAAATGGCAAAAATTGACTGAAGGATACAAATGAAAGACTCTATACTTGTATGCTATGAAACAAGAACATTTTGCATAAAACAAGATAGACTGAAAGTAAATAAAGGTAGGTGGTGGTTGGGTACCTGATGCACTGCAGTACTGGGAGAATGCAGGTCAATGGCAGTCAGTGGAGGAATCCGGGTTTCCAATAGAGTTTTGTTCTCTTTCTTTATTAACCTAGAATTTCGAGCTATATAAAGGTAATCATAAAATGAATTCACAAATGAAAAAAGCAGGCATTTTGTTTGTTTCGTATTTAACTGTGTCCCAACTACTGTACTTTTTATGCATCAATGTGTCTACAGAAATATGAAAAATTCCTCTGAATGTTGATTTTTTTAATACCCTGTTAGGTTAACATACAACACTGAATAGTACAAACATACGGGCTGATAAAGTGAAAAGCATCCTATACATACCAATGCCTTCTAAGGCTTTTAGCTGAGGGAGATGGTTGTAGTTTAGTTCAGGCAAATGGACATCTGCTCTGGCATATTCTTTTCTTTTCTTATTTGCCTGAAGGAGGCTCTTTTCATTAGAGACCTAGCATCAGCAGGATGGTTAACACAAACAAATTAGCTTTAAGATCATTTGAGGCTTGCCATCTTTGGCAACTACTATGTTCATACTGTAAAAATTTGCAGAGTGGAAGGGCAGGAATAATAAAATATCTGCTGGACATTACTAACAGAAAACCATTCTACCCAATTATTTTGTATTTCTTCTTCACTAAATTGATTACAACTGCTAACAAGTAGACAATCTGATTGTTCTACATTTAGATCCTGGAAAGCAATGAAAGGTTAGAGCCTAACATCCTGGTCCATCAAGCCAGTGATACAAGGTCACACAACACCTCCTGGGCTAGTTTTGTTGTTGTTGTTGTTGCTTGGAAAATAGTTGTTGTTTAACTTTATTATGTTTAGCTTTGTTATTTAACTTCAAACAGCTTATCTGCATGTGTCCTATCACATTTCCTGCAAGTTTGGTTTTTTTTTCACTTTCCCAAAATAATCTTCCTACTGTTTTTTCTATATATGTCCTGTCTTGTTCCTCAGAGTTAGTTCATGATACTGTCTTCCTGAGAATATAATTCATTTACTTAAAAAAGTATAACTTTAATTATTTTCCTAAGAGTTTTATTATTAATGAATAGATGATAAAATCAAAAATAATTAATAAAGCATCCAGGAGCTAGTGGTTCATTATTGTAATCCTAGCTACTCAGGAGGCTGAGAGCTGAGGAATGTGGTTTAAAGCCAGCCCAGGCAGGACAGTCCTTGAGACTCATGCCTACCTGAAAGCTAGAAGTGGGCCGGGCGCTGGTGGCTCACGCCTGTAATCCTAGCTACTCAGGAGGTTGAGATCTGAGGATCACGGTTCAAATCCAGCTCAGGCAGGAAAGTCTGTGAGACTCTTATTTCCTATTAGCCACCCAGAAAACCAGAGTGGCCCTGGAAGTAGAAGTAGAGCTAGAAGTAGAGCTGTGGCTCAAGTGGTAGGGTATCAGCCTTGAGTGAAAAAGCTGAGGGACAGTACCCAGGCCCTGCGTTCAAGCCCTTGTATTGGCATAAACTAATAATAATAATGCAAAAATAGGGGCTGGGAAGGTGTCTCAGTGGTAGAGTGCTTGCCTTGCAAGCATGAGGCCCTGGGTTCGATTCCCCAGCACCACATAAGCAAAAAGAAAAAAAAGCTGGAAGTGCTGCTGTGGCTCAAGTGGTAGAGCACTAGCCTTGAGTTGAAGAGCTGAGGGACAGTGCCCAGGCCCAGAGTTCAGGCCTCACGACTGGACCCAAAAAATAATAATAATTATAATAATGCAAGAATAGAAACTCTACAATTGTGCCTTTGAAATTTTCTAATCTTGGTCGGTCACTTAAGAATCACAGAACCCCTCTATTTTCCATGTTTTCCAAACAAGAGGCATATAGAGAGATCATGCACTTGCTAAAAAAAAGAACTATGTTTAATGAAATCTTTTATATGTATATAAATACATTTATATAAAATGAACTACACACACAACAAACACATCTTTCCCTGCTGCCTCAAGTTTAACACTCTGTCAGGGATCTTTAAGAGAGCTATAGTCAGCTTATAAGTTTTGGATGTTTCTGCTTCCTCTTTTAATAGAACAAGTGCTAAGGCTCTAGAAAATAAACTGATTAGATCAAAACAACTGTAAGTACAAAAATAAACTTTTTTTAAAAAATTAGTTTAAATTATCAGATTTACCTATTCAAAGAGTGACAAAACACACAATATGTTTATAATTACATGTTTATTCACATCTCAGAGTTAGGGCATAAAGAATGGGACAGATGTGCTGATCTTCAAACTAGAAGCTGAAGAAAGTTTAGGCTTATCTCTGCCTGTACTAGTTTTCATTAAGACTCCAAGGGTCTTCTCTCCACTCACTAATCTTCACCTCCTTTCTTGGTGACCTTTTCCAAAGAAGAATAAACAGAAATAGGATCTAAAATTATCAGTTAGCATTGATTATGCAATGCCCGAAAACAAGTTGATATCAAATCTAGCAAAATGGTATTGAGCTAGCTACTTTAAAAGGCTTTGTTGATTTGCCAGGCACTGGTGGCTCATACCTGTAGTTGCTACTCAGGAGGCTGGGATCTGAGGATCGAAGTTCAAAGGCAGCCAGAGCAGAAAAGATTCTTAAATTGAATTAACCATGCTATGGCTCAAGTGCGAGAGCACCAGCTGCAAGTGAAAAAGTTCAGGGACAGTGCCCAGGCCTTGAATTCAAGCCCCAGTATGGTACAAAACAGGAAGGAAGGGAGAGAAGGAAGAAGGGAGGGAGGGAAGGAGGAAGGGAGGGAAAGGGGGGAGGGAGGGAAGGAGAGAAAGTCACAGAGATAGGCTAGAGGGCTGGTGCAGCCTAATGATGCTGAATTATTGGCCTTTATTAAGAGATGAGAAGCCAGTGGATGGTTTGAGCAGAATTATTATTTGACTTTTTTAAAGCAGCATTCTGAAGGCCATGTTGAAAATAATAATGTACCTGTACATGCCTCTGCTATTAAAATCTGTTCGCATATTTTTCATGTATTGATCTTCTCCATTAAGAGATTGATTTAGTTCAATTATAGCGTCTGACAGTATAGATGATGAATAAGTGCTTGTTAAATGAATAAACAGAATACTTCCACCAAAAATATAGGGTAGGTAAGACAATAAGATGATTCAATCTTCTCATTTACTCTTCAAACAAAAGACTAAGTGTATTGAGTATGCTGTTGAAAACTATTAAAATAGATGACATTACAATGCCATCTTTCAGACTTATATAACTCAAACTTTCAGAGTGACTATGATTGCCTGTGATGATCCATGATTGATTAAGGGGAAAACCGTGTGTCCCCAAATTTAAAAATACATCGGTTCTTCACTTTCATACTTGCAGCTAACATGAGTCTGGAACAGACTAGTGCTTGCTCCCCCTATCACTGAGGACAGTGTACTTACTGGCGTAGCCACATTCATGTTGTAAATTCCCGTTGGAGAGAGCTTATTTGGTTTAACAATTGGAATGCAATACTTAGTTTTCTCATCCATTCTGTAATTTAAAAATATTTTAAAGCTAGAATCAGTAAGAAGCATTATTTAAGTAAAAACAAAAAACAAATGAAATTAGCACCAAATGGCATAGTGTTCAATGAGAATTTAATGCATGCTCTCAAATACACAATGCATATATAATCTTGGTGAAATGTTCAACCATTTACCATCCATGCTTTCTACATGGCCAACTCCTGCCAAATAAATGATCTATCTTTCAGTAAATCCCACAAAGGAACTCCTTTGAATGCTCACAGTCAATCCATCCAACAGAAGGCTCTCAAAAATGTGTATTTCTTTGATTATAATAGCCTCTTTTTACGCCAGGCATCAGTGGCTCACACCTGTAATCCTAGACTCTTATCTCCAATAAGCCACTCAGAGAACTGGAAGTGGCGCTGTGGCTCCAGGGGTAGAGCGCTGGCCTTGAACTGAAGAGCTGAGGGACAGCGCCCAGGCCCAGGCCCACAACTGACAAAAATAAATGACAACAACAACAAAAAAAAAAAAACTCCTTTTACATTATTAGATAAAATAGCTATAGATTCTCATACTTTAAACAGCACAACCCTACTTTCTTAAGACTCGGGTGAATTTTTAAGTCAAATCCTAATAATTCTTAACACACAAGTCCAAAAGGTTTTGTTTGTTTGTTGCAACTGTGGGGCTTGAACTCATGGCTTGGATCCTGTCCCTGCACCTCTTTGTGTTCAAGGCTAATGCTCTCCCACTTGAGCCACAGTGCCACTTTCAGTTTTTGAGTGCTTAATTGGAGATAAGAGTCTCCAGGAAACTTTTCTCCCCAGGCTGGCTTTGAACCTTGATTTCAGATCTCAGCCTCCTGAGTAGCTAGGATTATACCTGTGAGCCACCAGCACCCATCCCAAAGTTTTAAAATCTGAAGTACCACAGTGGAGATTCTTGGTGCAATTAATACATACAATAATTGAAAAAGTGGGCTGAGATCTGAGAATTGTGATTTGGAGCCAGCCCACGTGGACACAACTTTTGAAAGTCTTATCTCCAATTAGCCAGTAAGAAGCGAAAATGGAGCATGGCTCAAGTGCCCACAGTGAGTAAAAACACTGAAGTACAGGACAAGGCCCTTAGTTTAAACAGTATATCAGCACATGCATGCACACACATGTGCACACACCCAGACACACATGAAGTAGGTTCATTAAGGGGGTGAATACCACTTGGAGGGAAAGAGCTAACCAAGGTGGTAAGAGAGGCTGGTACAGAGTGAGTAGTTTGTAAGTATAAAAACAGAACAAAGAAACTGGTTAAAATTGTTTTGAAAAGGGTGAGTGGAAAAGGAAAAAAAGAAAAGGATGTATTCAACCCATTTCATGTATGTTAGAATAGAACCTATGCCTTTTAGAACTAATATATGATAATTTTTAAAAGTTATCTTACAAGTATAAATAACTCCCAGAATCCTGAGAGTAAACAACTATAGATGAACTAAGAAACTTGTCATTTCTTTTTTTGTCAGTCATGGGGCTTGGACTCTGGGCCTGGGGGCTGTCCCTCAGAGCTTCAGCTCAAGGCTAACATACTACCACTTGGAGCTACAGCGCCACTTTTGATTTTCTGGTGGTTTATTGGAGAGAAGTCTCATGGACTTTCCTGCTGGGGCTGGCTTTGAACCGTGATCCTCAGATCTCAGCGTCCCAAGTAGCTAGGATTACAGGCGTGAGCCACCAGTGTGTGGCTTGTCATTTCTTTTCTAGAGGTGGTACTGGGGCTTACACTCAAGACCTTGTACTCTCACTTGGTTTGCTTGCTCATGGCTGGTGCTCTACCACTTGAGCCTCCAGTTTGGCATTAGGCTGGTTATTTGGAGGCTTAGGGGCTTTTCTGCCTGGGCTGGCTTCTAACAATTAGTCTTTAGTCTCACCCTTCTAAGTAACTGGGATTGCAGGCATGAGCTACCTATGCCTGGCTTAAACAGTTGTAATTTATAAATACATCATGAAGTAATTTCTGGTCTTTTTTTTTCTAAATTCATACCTGTAATTCTGCCCTCCTGGGATGGTGCCCACCACAGAATTAACACCAGCAGCCATGGTAGCAAGACTGTGTGTGAGTGGAGGAATTGCCACGCCTGGGCTCTTCGCACGGTCCAAGTTGGCAACGCTGCTGTCTCTGAGGCTTGTGGAAGGCGCTGCTTTGGTGTGGCTGGTCCCATGGTCAGACAGACAGTTGGCATTTGAAGCTCTGTTGACTTTTTCTCCATCAAGTTTTGATGCTTTTAATTTAAATGGTTTAGAGTCCGTAATTTTGGATTCACTATTGGTGTCCTGACCAAGAATAAAAATGTTTAAAAGTTAATCACCTGAAAAGAAAGTTGCCATGTCCTGGAAGCTCAGTCTGTAATCCTAGCTATTCTTAACTACTGGAAAGCTGAAAATAGTACTGCGTCTCAAGTGATAGAGCACCAGCCTCAAACAGAAAAAGGAAGGGAAAGTGTCCAGGCCCTGAGTTCAAGCCCCAGGACTGGCACACACACAAAAAAGAAAGGTAGGAAAAGAATTAAAATTAACCTCAGATTATTATTCAAATAGTCATTGTGGAAATAAAGACTGGACACACAACTCACATCAACTCTGCTAAATGTATTTTTGTGTGTATAAATTAAAATGGAACAAAAACATGGAAAATAAATCAAGAATCATTTTTCTTTTATATTCAGGGATCAGGGACTATAAAATTGAAAGTTTTTCTTCTTTTGGTTCACTTAATGGCAGAGAGTTGATATTAGATTTGAGTTGCTATATTAAGAACAGATTCTGGTCAGGCATGGGTGGCTCAGGCCTGTAATCTTAGCTACTCAGTAAGCTGAGATCTGAGGATCATGGTCCAAAGCTAGACCAGGAAGGAATGAAAATCTGTGAGACTCCTATCTCCAATTAACCACCAGAAAACAAGAAGTAGAGCTGTGGCTCAAAGTGGTAGGGCACTAGCCTTGAACAAAAGAGCTCAATGACAGTACTCAGGTCCCAAGTTCAAGCCCCACAACCGGAAAAAAAAATTTCAAGTCTCAAATTGAAAATACTCTGTGTGTGGGTGTGTGTTTCTTTTTTTTTTAATTGTGAAAATACTGTACAGAGGAGTTACAATTACATGGGCAAGATAATGAGTACAATTCTTATCAAGCATTGTAGCCTCATCCTTTGTTTCCCCATGTGTGTGTTTCTTGAAGTTGTGTCTAAGTGTTCTTGAAGGTATAGAACTGAGGTTTTCTTTTTTTTTTTTTTTTGTCGGTAGTGGGGCTTGAACTCTGGGCCTGGGCGCTGTCCCTCAGCTCTTCAGCTCAAGGAGAGCGCTCAACCACTTGAGCTACAGCGCCACTTCCGGTTTTCTGGTGGTTTATTGGAGATAGGAGTCTCAAGGTCTCTCCTGCCCGGGCTGGCTTTGAACCGCAATCCTCAGATCTTGGCCTCCTGAGTAGCTAGGATTACAGGCGTGAGCCACCAGCGCCCACCATGAGGTTTTCTGAGATAGCTCCAGCCATGAAAGATCCTGTAGACTATATGACCTTGACTGAGAACACTGTAAAGAAATGAAATGTTATAGTCGAGAATCAAAGTTATTGTGAGCTATCTTAGGCCTTAATAGCCATGTACTTTCAAACTCGAGGCTACTGGGTAAAACTGTTGGAATGCAGCCTCAGCTTAGCAGATCTCTAGGCCCCACCGGCCCCCAAGCTGAGAATGCTAAGAGATAACATCTAAAACCTATTAAAAAAATAAATAAAAAGGTTTCCTGTTACTGTTGTAGCTTGCCTACTTAATGCCCCCACCAATAAATTATTTAGTAAATTATTTATTTTATGATTTTTTTTTGTCCTGTGACTATAAAAGTTCATATAACTTCTTCTACAGTGAAATGTCATTCTGGGGAGCTTGAATCTTTGTTCTCAAGCCTTAGTCATTCATATTCAATTCAGAACAAACTGTTTTCTTATTGCCTTTACAACAGACTCATTATTTTACATCATGTGATTTCCTAACAAATACTACAGCACAGTCTAACACACATTAGGCTCTCAAATCGTAATATATTTCTGGGCACAGGTGGCTCATACCTGTAATCCTAGCTACTCAGGAAGCTAAAATCTGATTATCACAGCTCAAAGCCAGACAGAGCAAAAAAATCTATGACAAGACTCATCACCAGGGCTGGGAAGGTGGCTCAGTGGTAGAGCACTTGCCTTGCATGCATGAGACCCTGGGTTCGATTCCTCAGCACCACATAAGCAAAAAAAAAAAGAAAAAAGAAAAAGAAAAAAACCGGAAGTGGCACTGTGGCTCAAGTGGTACAGTGCTAACCTTGAGCTGAAGAGTTGAAGGACAGCATCTCGGCCCAGAGTTCAGGCTCCATGACTGGACCCAAAAAAAAAAAAAAAAAGACTCATCGCCAATTAACCATTTCCCCACCAAAAAAAAAAAAAAGCCAGAAATGGAGCTGCAGAGGCTGGGAATGTGACTTAGTGGTAGAGTGCTTGCCCAGCATACATAAAGCCCTGGGTTCAATTCCTCAGTACCACATAAACAGAAAAAGCCAGAAGTGGAACTGTGGCTCAAAGTGGTAGAGCACTAGCCTTGAGTGAAAGAGCTGAGGGACAGAACAAAAAGAAAGAAAAGAAAAAAGAAAGAAGGAAGGAAGGAGAGCAAGAGAGAAAGAAAGAAAGAGAGAGAGAGAAAGAAAGAAAGAAAGAGAGAGAGAGAAAGAAAGAACAAAAGAAATGGAGCTGTGGCTCAAATGATGAGTTCCAGCTACCCTTAAGTGAAAAAGCTAAGAGATAACACCCAGGCCCTGAGTTCAAGTCCTTGTACTAGCACAAATGAATGGCATGATAAAGTTTTGTTTTACCCAGGGCTTCATGCATGCTAAGGGAGCACTCTATCACTAAGCCACATTCCCAGCCCTCATATGTTTTTTTTTTTGCAACAAGGCCAAGTTCATAAACTTGCTGACCACTCAAAAATACTTCTTTTAGGGGCTGGAAAGGTGGCTCAGTGGTAGAGCACTTGCCTTGCATGCCTGAGGCCCTGGGTTTGATTCCTCAGCACCACATTAGCAAAAAGAAAAAAGCTGGAAGTGGCGCTGTGGCTCAAGTGGTAGAGCACTAGCCTTGAGCTGAAGAGCTGAGGGACAGCACCCAGGCCCAGAGTTCAGGCCCCAAGACCGGACCCAAAAAAAAAAAATACTTCTTTTAAAACATCTTCGTTTTTGCCTCAAATTTAAATCTTTAAACACAAAACATTTACCTGTACCACAGGTGTTATTCTTTCTTCACTAAAGGGATCATCTTTTTCCTTTTCCTTCTTTCTGGTTTGGGATTTTTTACATGACATATTCCTTTCATCTTTCTGAACTTTTAACTGAAGTTCCTGAGAAAACCTATGTAAAGAAACACATTTCTCAATAAAAATAAAATGGTATGAGAAAAATAAACATAGGAAAAAATTATTTTCAAGGTAACTTTCAAAAAACATAGGTGATAGTCTATTTTATTTAAAATGAGGAAATGCATGGCCTAGATCAACTGTTCTGAAAGGTTTGTCTGTAGATTGTCTGGGGTCCTTAATAACTTCAGTCTTAGCTCTTAACACAAAGAGGTCGCCTTTTTGAACTTTTAACATTTGCACTGCAGCTATGAAAGCAATGACACCTTATGAAAGTATTAAACACTGGCAGTAAACTGTGCTAGGTGTCATGGTTTTCTTCATGGTTCCATGTGATAGCAGTCTCAGTGGTTTTTGTTTTATTTTTATGTTTGTTTGGTGTGGGTTTTTCGCTAGTCCTGGGGCCTGAACTCTGGCCCTGAGCAACTGTCCCTGAGCTGTTGGGCCCAAGGCTAGTACTCTATCACTTGAACCACAGCTCCACTTCTGCTTTTTAGGTAGTTTATTGGAGCTAAGAGTCAAGTGGGCTTTTCTGTCCATTCTGGCTTTGAACTATTACCCTCATATCTCAGCCTCCTAAGTAGCTAGAATTATGGGTGCCACCAGTTTCCCAGCTGGCAGTCTCAGTTTAAAACATGAACAAAAACAACAATCTTTTTCACTTAAGTTTCACTCAGAATGTTCCTGTAGAAGCAATAGAAAGGTGCTGATTTGCTTAAAACTGAAACCTTTGCTGGGCAACTTTGGCTCACAACTATAATCCTAGCTACTCAGGAGGCTGAGATCTGAGGATCCAGGTTCAAAGTCAGCCTGGGGCAGGAAAAGTCTGTGAGACTCTTTATCTCCACTAAACCACCAGAAAAGGGGACGTGCACTGTGGTTCAAGTGGTAGAGAACTCTCCTGAGCTGAAGAACTGAGGGACAGTGCCCAGGCCCAGAGTTCAAGCCTTACAACCGACAAAAAGAAAAACAAAACTGAGGGCTGGGAAGGTGGCTCAGTGGTAGAGCGCTTGCCTCGCATGCCTGAGGCCCTGGGTTCAATTCCTCAGCACCACATAAGCAGAAACAAAAAAGCCGGAAGCGGCACTGTGGCTCAAGTGGTAGAGCGCTAGCTTTGAGCTGAAGAGCTGAGGGACAGTGCCCAGGCCCAAAGTTCAGGCCCCACGACCAGACCCCCCCCCCAAAAAAAAAGTAAAAAAAAAAAGAAAAAGAAAACTGAAACCCTTGCGCACATCTTCCTATACTAATATGCACAAAACTTCTCTGACATGAGCCAAAGCACAATGGTGATCTTAAGAAAAGCACTTGTGGCCCAGAACTGGTGTATCATGTCTATACTCTTAGCTACTGAAGAGGCTGAGATCAGAGGATTACAGTTCAAAGCCAGCCCAGACTGACAAATCTCAAGAGACTCTCTTTCCAATTAACCATCAAAAAAGATAGAAGTTGAACTATAGTTTAAGTGGTAGGTATCCCGCTTTGAATAAAAAAGTCAAGAAAGTACAAGGCCCTGAGTTTAAGCCTCAGTAACATCGCACAAATAAAAATAAATAAAAGAATCCACAATGACCTATAAAAGCTTTTAAAATATGCTTCTATATCACCAACTACATATTTTTGAGAAACCAGAATTTCTTCATTCCTTAAGTCAAAATAATACCAGGTGCTGGTGGCTCACACCTGTAAATCCTAGCTACTCAAGAGGCTGAGATCGGAGGATCATGGTTCAAAGCCAGCCTAGGCAGAAAAGTCCCTGTGAGACTCTGATCTCCAATTAACCACCAAAAAACCGACGTGGAGGCTGTGGATCAAAGTGATAGAGCACTAGCCTTGAGCAAGAAATGCTCAGGAGGGCTGGGAA